TTGTACACCCCCTATCATCTGTGAGCCTCAGAGCTTTATATCAAGCCAGATGTGTAGATGATGGATAGATGACGTGGCAGGCTGTGAGGCGCCTGCATCAGAGGGGACTCCCAACTCCAGCTAACTGAAGGGAATCCATTTTCATGGTTGTCAGTCTAGCTATAGTCCCCAGCAGCAAAGTGTCCCTGTCCAATCAGCCCACAAAACTAGGACAGAACCACCATTAGATCATGCAGTCACACCCTCGGGGCCTTGGGGCACGTCTTGGTCCCCTACTGGCAAGATATCGGCTAAGGACTTTCCTTGGGCACAGCATCCGTTTCTCTTCTGTTGCCAATAAAGCTCCCCTGCACTGTTCTTTCTCCCCGACTGCCTTCTATTGCTTCTGACAGAGTTTGCCAGTTAGCTGAGGTCAGGATTTCCTTTTGACAAACAACCTGCTTTCAGTCAGCGGGGCCAGAGGTTTCCTAAATTACAAACCCTTTCATTTCTTCTGCCACAAGTCATCCTGTCAGTTTGTATAATCGCACAGAATGGAGAGGAATGGAAACGTTCAGAGAGACATTGAAAGAAAGTCATGCTCTTGCTAACTTGATCCTTTTGCATTGTCAAAAAGCTGTCCTGAATGGGATGGATGGGACTACTTGGGTTGAAGTGTGCGTAGCTGCTCTAGTGTGGGTGAATTTCTTGCGTCTGAGAGAAAATTTCTTTCATGTATTAAGTGAACACACAGTGTCCCTCATTCCCACATTCTGTTAAGCAAATGGCCTCCTTTGTATTTGAACTTGGAAAAATGCATGACATAGGCACGTGTTTTTAGAAGCATTTTTTAAAAAGATTGATTTATTTGAAAGGTAGAATAACAGAGGGAGAGGCTTTCCATCCGCTGGTTCATTCCCCAAATGGCCACAAATGCGAGAACTGGGCCGATTGAAAACCAGAATCTGAGAGCACCTTCCATGTATCCCAAGTGGATGCCAAGCACTTGTGCCATTTTCCACTGCTTTTCCAGGTGTATTAGCAGGGAGCTGGATCAGAAGTGGAGCATCCAGGACTCAAACCGGTGCCCATGTAGGATGTTGGCACTGCAGGTGGTAGCTTAACCCATATGCCACAGTGCCAGCCCCTAAAAGCAAATTTTAAAAGTTATGAAATACATATGAGTTTTCTCTGAGGTTTGTAGATGCTCACTGGAAGACAAAGTTGCCTAATGCTGAGAGGATAGCATAGGATGGAGGCAATGAGGCTCAAAAAAATTTTTTTTAAAAAAGGCATTCAGACATCACTGGAAAATTGTACTCACTGTGGACAGGATGCTAAACATGCCCAGCAAACCCAAAGGGGACACCTGAGCTCACCTGGTATTTGGTGTTCAGGAAGGCAGAGCTACCTTTACTGGCCTGACAGCTCCAAACTTCTCATGATTCTGTTTTGCATCCAGGAGAGTAGCTGGATCCTGCCTTTGCCTATTTGCCTGTGATACTTTGGGTGAAGCATTTAACCCAAGTTTTATGATCTGTAAAATAAAAGGGGCTCAACTAGACAGTACTGGCATTTCACACTTTAAGCCTGTTTTCATGTAGAAGTGTCACCCATTATAAAGGCTGAGTGCAATTTCTTTTCATTCTCCTGTGAAGGGGAGCCACCATGTCCCATGTGACAGCACTAAACCTGCTATTTTACTCTGAGATGGAGGAGAGGGCCCTTGCTCCCTCCCTCACTTGGCCACTCCATCCCTGCAGTTCCAGTCTCCGGCTGCTCCTCCCACCCTTCCTCCTTGTCCAGCCTGCTGCACACCTTCCCAGCCAGGCCGCTCTCAGGCTCTCCCCTTCTCCTACTCTGCTCAGGTCACCTCCTCCCCAGCCTTCAGGTTTCTGCAGAGACATCAGTTCAGGAATCAAGTTCTGTCTGCCCAGGCTGCCCAAATCGGCTCCACCCTCAGTACTGTTCATGGAACTCTTTTTAGAAATGTAATGCATTCTTGGGTGGTCACTGTCCCAGTGCTTGAGGTCAGGGAGCAAGCCATCTCTGGCAGTTTCCTAGACCCAGCCAGAACAGTGCAGGGTACTTCTTTAGGGTCTGTGCATTCAAAGGGCTGGTTCTTTAGTTGGGGGAAGCAAGGTATATGAAAACTCAGGCAGCGTGATTCTGCCAGGCAGTGTTGCGAGCACTTTGCCTAGGAGGGTACTTCAAAAAGTTGTAGGAAAAAATGAAATTAAAAGTTAAACTTGGCCGGTGCCGCGGCTCACTAGGCTAATCCTCTGCCTTGCGGCGCCGGCACACCGGGTTCTAGTCCCGCTCAGGGCGCCGGATTCTTTCCTGGTTGCCCCTCTTCCAGGCCAGCTCTCTTCTGTGGCCAGGGAGTGCAATGGAAGATGGCCCAAGTCCTTGGGCCCTGCATCCCATGGGAGACCAGGATAAGTACCTGGCTCCTGCCATCGGATCAGCGTGGTGCGCTGGCTGCAGCGCTCTGGCCGCGGCGGCCACTGAAGGGTGAACCAACGGCAAAAGGAAGACCTTTCTCTCTGTCTCTCTCTCTCACTGTCCACTCTGTCTGTCAAAAAAAAAAAAAGTTAAACTAATTTGGTCTAAAAAATATCTCAAAATCCATGCATACCATTTTCACAATCTGAATTTTCCATGCACTTTTTGAAGACTTCCCATATATTATTTTGTTCTCATAATAATCCCCTGAAGTAGATATTATCATCATTACCTTTTAGGTGGAAAAAGTAAGACACAGAGACATTAATAACTTGCTCCGCTGTGACAAGGAATGTAGGATTCCAAGTGATCTGAATGCAGAGTCCAGGCTCCTAACCACTGGGCTGTACTATCTTGCAATGGTTTTCAGACCCCTTATAAGATTTGGACATGTAATGACTCTTGTTTATCATCATCCCCTCTATCCAATCTATTAGTCAATCCTGGCATTACTTTTATTAAAACCATACCCAGGTTTCCATTTCCACCATTCTAGTTCAAATCTGGCCTTTGTACACCTAGACTGCCCCTGAAGACCTAATAACTAACTGGCATCCCCACTTCTCTTGTTCTGGTAGACGTCCTCCACACAGCAGCTGGGGAGGGTACATGTAAGAGTAAATTAGACCAGGTCATGTTCCTGTGTAAAACCCTCAGTTGCCTCCCATTTCACTTGGAAGAGCAGCCACCGCCTTTGCCACAGTCTTACCAAAGTCTTCCTGGTAACCCTTGCTTTACAAAGCCGTCTCCTCCTCTTTCCTCTTGGACCCATAGGTGTGGTTTTTATTATAAGAGCACAAAGCATAGAAGTGTTCTCCTCTGGGGGGTCTTTGCATGCTTGACTCCGATCTTCCCATGCTATCAGGTCCCAGCTGATACAGCTCAGCCCTGTCCGTCCTAAGGAAGCATAGGCCTGCCACTCGCTAATGTTCTCTGTTTCCATAGAGAAGCTTTCCCACCCGAATGTATCTTACCCATTTTCATTTATTGTCTGTTTCCACCAACTCCAGTGTGAACTCAGTCCTGGGTGCAAGGACATCCTGCTCTCAGCACCTAGGACAGTGCCAAAAGGTGGCGACCAGAGAATCTACTGAATGAAGGCATAGACAGGGCTGGGTGACATTCAAGAAAAAGCAGTAACACTGAGTTCTCTGATGAGAAGAGAGGTTCAGCAGAGGAGGAGAGACTGGGAAGTATGTGACTGAGGTGGACTGAGGTAGAGGAGGCCATGGCAAGCGATGGGAATGCTCTGAGCAAAGGTGAGGTAGAGATGCTTCAGGGTTGGTTGGTCTACTACAGAGCCTAGTCAAAGTAGCCTAGAGTATTGAAGGTTTTGCATTATGATAATGAGGAGATGATCCTGGCAAGAAGGTGGAGCCTCTATAATACCAAGGGGGAGAAATCTGAGCTCTAATCCATGGACAAAAAGGAACCCTTTAAACCCCATGACCAGGGGTGGCATGTTAGCAATGATGCCTCAGCAAATACATCCTCTAGCTTTGTGCTCTCCTTTTGGCCTATTTTTCATACTTTCTTCACCTGAGACCTAAAAGTCCCTTTACTCTCCACATCCCACCCCCACAATTCTTTAAAGATTTTTCTCCAAATTCTTTGTGTACTTGGGGTGCCTGAGCATGCTCAACTACCTCATTATTCAGGCTGCTTGGCCCAGTGTATGCATGTGAAAACTGCATACCATGGGCCTGATATATGGGTTAGACAACTGCATGTTTGATCTCCATGTGTTTCAATGTTGTGTTTCTTTTTTTTTTTTTTTTTTTGACAGGCAGAGTGGACAGTGAGAGAGAGAGAGACAGAGAGAAAGGTCTTCCTTTTGCTGTTGGTTCACCCTTCAATGGCCGCTGCGGCCAGCGCACCACGCTGATCCGATGGCAGGAGCCAGGTACTTCTCCTGGTCTCCTATGGGGTGCAGGGCCCAAGCACTTGGGCCATCCTCCACTGCACTCCCGGGCCACAGCAGAGAGCTGGCCTGGAAGAGGGGCAACCGGGACAGAATCCGGCGCTCCGACTGGGACTAGAACCTGGTGTGCCGGCGCCGCAAGGCGGAGGATTAGCCTAGTGAGCACCAGCTGAGTGTTGTGTTTCTAAAAGTAAGTTCTCAGGAGGCAGCAAGTAGTGTTGTTTTATAGCTGTCAGTGATTAATCTGGCTGAATCATAGAAGTACACGTTGTGGGTGTTCTTTGTTGATGAAACTGCTTCATATTACTGTCCTGTGGTAATGAGTGAGACTTAGGCTAGTGTGTGCTGAGTTCTGTTCTATAGTAGGGCCCGGTTTGTATTATTCTGGGGGAAGTAAAGAGATTTTCCATTCATCAGTTCTTAACAGTGATCCAGGAAACAGCTGTTACCCTTCCAGTTTAGTCCCATAAAGGGCTGATAAAGCCATCACAGCAACTGCTTCGTACAGCTTCCTTTTCTTGGACTTTGAGCACTCTAATGCAGCTAAGATCCTTATTTCCTATAAGCATGAGAAAATTATGGTGCTGCCATCAAGGAGCTTACAGTACTTCACAAATCAATTTTATTAACTTAAACACGAAATTAACAAGAATTCTGTACACAACTGTGGACACAACACACCTTTATACAGTAAGGCCCAGATAAACTTTGCATTTTCAGTCTGCAGAGTACAAAAACATACAATGAAAAGGCTAAAAAATTGTCAGCTTCTGTTTGCTTCACACAAAAAGGAAAAAAAATGAATCTAACTGTTAATTTAAACAATTTGGAGAATTCACAAATGATGAATTCTAGCAGCAACATGAAACGTCAGTAAAGGGTGGAGTAGTTCTTTAGCTACTCCAGGTCATAGCTGGTGGTTTTGTTTTTTCTTCCAATACAACATGAAAGAAAATTCACCTGGAGCAATTTCATGACAATGAAAAGCTTTGGGTGAGAGCAAGTAGCACCCAAACTGATGACTTCTGAATAAACTTTGTTATGACAAAGGTGACATTTTTTAATTCTCCAGATGCAGGCTGGCCACATAAGACATAACGTAGGTAGAGAGTACCATGATTCCTTGGTGATAATGATCAGGCTATGTCCACTGCTCACAATGAACTTTGCTCTGAGAGGAAGACAGAATGCGAGTGCAGGGAGTAATACAAAGTTCTGCTGATTGTCAGCTATGTGGTAATGTCCTCCTTTATCTATCCAACAAAATGCAGACACAGTAACAATTCTGAGCACATGAAAACCTTGCTAGATTCCAATTCATGAGCCATTTTATTAATAAAATATATCTATCTTCTGTAATCTTTCTGTGGGAAGAAACATTTGCATAATCATTTTTTCCAAGTAGTTACATATAATACAATAGTGTTGAAATGAAAAAGTGAGGTTAGAAGAGGACTTTTATTTTTAAAAATTAAGAAATCGCTGTGTTATTCCATCAAGGCCCTCCAAACAGCATTGGAAAAATCTTAGAAGAATTGATAGGGGAAAAAATTGGAAAACAAAATCCTCATTGACACTTGACAGCCATGCTTTTGGTCTTGACAACATTATCTAAAAAAAAAAAAAAAAAAAGAACTTCCTTTATCTACATATTTATACCCAATACTTTGATAAGGCACTGCACGTGACTTTGTACACGTGTTGCCTCATGCTTCACCATCAAGGCATTGCTACCTTTCAATAGCATTTCCCTTAACAATATGTAAAAGAATCATCCATTATTACAAATTTACACCAAAAATTCTTTCTGTACATGATTGTCTCAGTGATGTACATATTATATGTTTAAATTAGACATACTTTAAACTACTTTGCGATGTGCTAAAATTCAGAGTACTTGCCACGTCGTGTTAATCACTTATTTCTTATACTATTGTCTCTTCAATTATTTGATGTCAAATTGTCTAGGTGAAATGAATGGTATGTGAGTTATACCTCCATAAAGCTGTGGTTTGTTTTTGTTTTTGTTTTTTTAAAAAAAGTCTGTTCATAAATAAGTAGAGATGTACAGATTACCCTGGGTATGAGACACCAAAAGTAAACCTTCTTTACAAGAAATTCCTCCACTGGTATTCAGGAAACACAGTTCAGTTTTTGTTGTGCATCAAGTTTGCTGTATCTGAGAAGCTGTTTATGTCACATTGAAAATGCGAAAAACTGAAATGTCTGCAGGTCCTTTCTTCACAGGTTTGAACCGTGTAGTGAATGTGGCGGAGACACATCACACTGTGCTAGAACATTCTCATGGCTTATTTTTGTTGGATTCACAGTACTAGAGTCAACAGCTGTTCTGAACAAACAGGTGTGGTCTTCCAGGGACCAGAAGGGCAGGGGTTGAGACCGACAGCAGCTGCATATCAGTATGTTGAAATTGCTAAGTCCTGGAGTCCAGCGTTGATACAAGACTCATGCCGGTTGGATTTGTCCCTGATCTCAGGGCTGTTGTGTGGTTTCCAAGGCCACGTGGATGTTACAGGTACTCCAGTTCCAAGGCATGATGTAGAGCCATGAGGTCTGAATGACTAGAGATTCTCCAGAAGGGCATGGCGTGCTGCAGGTGGACGAGGAGGGACACATGGTGAGGAAAGACAGTACACCCAGTCCAACCCCACTTTGCAATCCAGTACACTGCTCAGCCCAGTGCTGCAATAACATGCAAACTGCCACCTAACATGACATCTGCTTAAAACAATGCTCAAACTAAATCCTCCCCAAAGAACACTGCAGTTTTAAAATGGAATTTTGAGTCTGACTGGTTTTAGAAGCTGATAGCTATTTTTAATGTAGATCTACACTGTACTTGAATGTCAGTTCCAAACTTTAAAAACAGTGAATGAAACTTTGCTCAAAACAGTTGCTTTTCAGAAGATGTATTCAGTGGATTTTTTAATGCTTAAAGATTTTAAAAACCTGTGTTTTATGAGTCTAAGCAGTTTTTCTTAGTTGGGAGTATTTACATTTTTCTGAACTTTATCTGACTCCTATATGAAGCAATTTTGTTCAATTATTCCTGACAGTCTTCATATTGACCTTTAAATGGCTTTATCATATGTGAAAATCTCTAAATCGACTTCTTAGGTGGCTTGTTCTTTTTTTTTTGTACTTGTTATTTAGAGGATAATCTAAAAATCTAAATGATGGAGGTGTTTGTGAGATCCTTGAAGAATAAACAAGTATTTCTGCATCAACATTATTTTAAAATAATCATCTTTCACAGGACACAATTCTGTTTGGCCCATGTGATAATCTTTTGTTACACAGAATAATGTGGAGGCTAGAGTATAATTTTTAATTATAGTTCTGAATCATTTTGGAGAATTTCAGACTAAGAAAATCTGGCATAGAAGCAAACAGATATGAGAGTGGTTTTCTGTTGCTTTTGCCTTTTATCTTTAGGTGGCAATGGAAAATACTATTTCAATGTAGATCACTTAACTGCTACTAGGATGCAAACTTATTTATTAACAATGTGTTTGCCGGCCGGTGCTGCGGCTCATTTGGCTAATCCTCCATCTGCAGTGCCGGTACCCCGGGTTCTAGTCCCGGTTGGGGCGCCGGTTCTGTCCCAGTTGCTCCTCTTCCAGTCCAGCTCTCTGCTGTGGCCTGGGAAGGCAGTGGAAGATGGCCCAAGTACTTGGGCCCTGCACCCTCATGGGAGACCAGGAGGAAGCACCTGGCTCCTGGCTTCAGATCGGCATAGCGCACCGGACGTGGTGGCCATTTGGGGGGTGAACCAACGGAAAAAGGAAGACCTTTCTCTCACTGTCTCACTCTGCCTGTCAAGAAACAAAACAAACAACAATGTGTTTGCCTCCAATTAGCTGCTGAAGTCATATATGATATTTTAATGTCTAATGCAGGCTTTTTCGAGTCAATACAATTATGGGATATGTATATATTTTATCTTTCAAAAACAGAATAATATAGAAATGAATTCTAAAGATCTATTTGTAGATTTTTAGTAAGATGCACCATATGACAACTTTAGATTGCAAGATGAGCATTGTGTTCATTGGTGGATTTTTTTTTTTTGTAGTTTGCAGGCATAGTGTTCTAAGTGTAAAAGAGTCCTAGATGCATATGGTCCTGGCCCCCCCTTTCACAATCCATGGGTGAGTAGCAGAAATGTACAACAATCCGAAGAATTTATCTATATGTTATAAGAGGAGTAGGAAGGGGGGAATTAAGAATAATAATTCCTAACTAGGGAAATGCCAGAAAAGAGGTGGTAGTTGAACTAGGTATGAAAGGATGGACATTCAGATGAGCACTCTGGTGTGGCTCATGAGACAGAAGAAAAAGGAACAACTCATTTTTAGCATAGAGGGGGGCATGGCTGGTACTATGACTGCAAGAGTCAGGAGATACAGGGTTTTCAGTAACAGTATGACAGGTATGACTTATTGGACATTGTGCCAGGTGCAATGCTATGTATGTCGAGGACAGATACTACTGTTGGATTTTATTGATGAAAAAAATGGGGCTTAGAGAAGAAGACAGGTTTAAATAATAACTGGTAAGGAATGAAGCCAAGATTTATATCAGGTCTGGGCTGAATCAAACGCCCATATCCCATAATGCCTCCTAACTGTTCTCCAGGATCGTAGCATAAGTCTCTGTGATGGGAAAGAGACAGTGGAAAATCTGAGTAACTATGATTCTGTAATTTATAGATTTGGGTTGGAAAAATGTTTGATCACTTATAGTATAGAAATCTTTCCGTATTTTTTAAATAGAGAGATTCATGCATACTGTAACATACTCATAAGATATAAGATAATATCATAAGATATAAAGAAATTTAAATCACTTGTACCCAAAGATACCCACCATAAACACTTTATTTTCATATATATATGTGTATATATATGTATACACACACACACATACACTCAAACATATTTGAAATTATATATACATACAGTATATGCCATTCAGCATCCTGCTCATTTTATGGCTTAATCTCAAATCCACTTTAAATGCTTCAGGTCTAAAGAAAGAATTTATTACTGTTTTCAAGTATTCAACTGTATATAATATTATTTTACATTTAACTATCTACTAGATATTTTATTTTTATAACCTTTTTATTATCTTCTTTTAAAACATTTATTTATTTTAAAGGCATAGCAACAGGGGTAGGGGAGAGACAGAGTGAGAAATGTGTCCACTGGTTTACTCCCCAAATGGCTGCAAATGCTGGGGTAGTGAGGGCCATCATTGCTGCCTTCCCAGGCATATTAGTATGGAGCTGGATCAGAAGCAAAGCACATAGACTCCAACAGGTACCCTGACAGGGGATGTGGACATCCTAGGCAGTGTGTTAACCCACTGTGCCACAATGCCAGCCACGGGATTTTCTTTCTTAGATGTGCCAGCTACTCACTGCCCTTCCATACATCTTACCTAACATCACTTATTTCAGGATGTGACAAAGGATGATGATGTTTCTGTAGACAACCATCCAGAAAATTTCAGAACAACTCTCATGCTTCAAAGAGGTGGAATTTTTTTTTTTTTTTTGAGAACAAGGTCAAATTCTTTTCCATGCAGATTATCTGAATCTAGACCTGCTTCTCACAGACAAGCTCCCTACAGATACATAGGGGTTTCAGAAAGCTCATGGATACTATGCATGGATTTAAGTCGAGCAGCCAGATCTCAAACTAAACTAGTGCCATGTGGGATGCTAGTGTTACAGGTGGTGACTTAACCCACTATGCTATAATGCCAGCCCCAAATTTAAACTTTTAGTTTAAAATCAGCCCTCTTTGAAAAGGTGACCTTATCCACAAAGAGCCCTGATTTGGTTTACTTGCACCAAAATATTATGGAACTTCAAATAGTTCATTTAAAACTGGATCTAAAAGATATTTATTTTGTTGCAAAATTTTTTGAGATCCATGCATAGGTTTTTCATGTGTGTTTACTTTGAACATTTTAAAGACCACTCATATGCATGGATCTGACTTTTTTGCACCAACATAAACTCTTAATTCCATTTTTCATGGGCTTTTTCAAGTATCCTGGTACTAATGACTTCAGTCTTCCTGAACAGAATAGTAATAAGAACCACATGGTCAAAAACTAGTTCAACTGATGCACTCTGCCTGTAGAATATATGAAATACAAGGCATCGCCATGCAACGGTGCTGGGGCTATGCCTTTTAGCAGTGCCATAGGTTCTACAGTTAGAGATGGCAGACGCTGGGAAACTCTCCCACCTGAGGGCAGCACCTCCAGCCCCTCCTTCAACATTACCCATCTTTACATGAAGGGTCATGAGGTCTGCCTAAGTCAGCATTTTCATGCTCACAGAAACAGTGGACTTCTCTAAGAACTGTACATCCTAAGACCAAGTCTAGAGGAGAGGCCAGGTGACTCAAACTCATGTGAGCAAGTAACTACAGCTAATACTGCAGTGATATTTTTCTAACTAAGCATATAGGAGGCTACTTCAAAGGGATCATGGGAAAATGGAATCCAAGGTATGAGGTATTTTGGTGTAATTTTTTGCATAATACGTGAAAAATAGGTATCATGAAAAAAACTATGGACTTTCCTTTGTACCAAAATAAACTCAAATTTTAATTGTATTTTCCATGAATTCTTTGAAGTACCCTTGTATTGATGCAAAGATTTTATGCATTAGCAAGAGCTTCCCAGGACTAGTGGGTACAAAGTAAACAGTGCTGTTTCTTGCATCAGTGGTTGGTCATTGGACCAAATATTTCTTATATGATATCAGAGAGAAATGCTGGCAAGAGAGGAAAAGCAAAGTGCATGCTAGAATTAGGAGACCTGAGTTATACTCTCAACTCCAACATTAACTACATGCACTTAGAGCCCCAGTTTCTTTATCAGTAAAATGAGAGTTCAGTGGAAATTTTACAACTTTGCTATTACTATTATCTGGATCACAGATGAAGTTGTTATTTTAGATACGCATTGTACAATACAAGATAGGACACATGCCCCTACTGCCCAGAATCGCCAGGCAGGCAAGATGTACCTATTGTTAACAATTTCATGACAATGTAAGGCAGTGTGGGATTATGGATCATAAGGACAAACTCAGAGAGAAGAGGTCAAGTGTAAGGTAGCTGGGCTTGTGTTGAATTTGAAGAATGAGCCACACTGGAGAGGTATATGGGAATGAGGATGGGACTCCCACTTACAAGGCAATGCATGTGTATGACAAGGCTGACAGGTGCGATGCACAAGACATTTTCTGTAGTTAGTTTGGGAAGAATGGGGCTGGAATGGTGTGTTCAGTATAGAGACTTATAAAGAAGAAGACTTTCTAAGGTAGAAATATTTTGGGGTTTGGATTTTTAACCTTCTAAATGGACGGGAAGTGAGATTAACATTTCCTCAATGCTGGAAGACACCTGGCAGAAAGTATTTTAAATAATTTAGGGCAGAAGTCAGGGAGATATGGACTGAGGGTGTATCAGGCTAGGAGCAGAGAAACCACACAGAGTGAGAACAGAAAGCTGGGAGCAACAGATGGGAGACAGACACAATTGTGAAGACAGAATCCAAGCAACT